TGAGAAGCTAAATTAATTTTACCCATATTTTTTATCTATTAATTACAATATAGAACCCTGGTGGCGCTGTGGTTAACAGCTCGGCTGCTAACCAATAAGGTCGGCAGTTTGAATCCACCAGCCGCTCCTTGGAAACCCTATGGGGCAGTTCTACTCTGTTATATAGGAGCGCTATGAGTCAGAATCAACTCGACCTCAACAGGTTTGTTTTTTTTTATTAATTAAAATAAGTTGAGGTTTGGGGCTTGTCAGATTCCATACTGTCAGAAAAGAAGGTCAGTTTGATGGCTGGGCTGATGTAACTGGGCACCAGCTACCCCCCCAGTAACAGAACGTCCCCACGGCACCAACAGTCAGGGTCCCCACACCTTCATGGTTCCTTGCAAATCACTTTCTGTGGTTTAAAGTCAGCTGTGAATAACTACTTTTCTCCAGTAAAGTGACTCAGAAAAGTCTAATCCAAAGTCTAATCCTTTTTATAAAGCAGATTTTTTAAAAGACCGTGTTGTCACTTGGTGGCTGAAGCAAGCGTTAATAATGAGGTAGATACTGGCAGAGTGGTCAGGAGGATGAAATGAAAGTCTGGTCGCTGCTCTCCACATCCTCTAGGTGGCGTCGTGAGCACCCTGAGGGCAGGGATTGGCATAGGGTGGCTGTTGGAATTCTCTGTTGTTAGCTGTCATGGAGTTGACCCCTGACTAGGGGCAACCCCATGCACAACGGAAGAAAACGCCCAGTCCTCTGCCATCCCCATGATGGGTTGTGGATCAGACCATTGTGATCTATAAAACTGTCATTGGCTGGTTTTTGGAAGTAGATTGCCAGGTCTTTCTTCCTAGTCGTTCAGCATCATAGCAACGTGCTAGCCTCCACAGCGGTGGCTATGCAAGAAGTGCATTGGCCGGAAATTGAACCTGGGTCTCCCGCATGGAAGGCAAGAGTTCTACCACTGGACCACCACTAGACCCGGATTTTTCTCTGGTCCTAAGTAAATGGAGCCCTGGTGGTGCAGTGGTTAAGAGCTCAGGCTGCTTGCTAACCAAAAGGTTGGCAGTTCGAATCCACCAGCTGCTCCTTGGAAACCCTGTGGGGCAGTTCTGCTCAGTCCTGTAGGATCGCTAGGAGTTGGAATCCACTCGACTGCAACCGGTTTGTTTTTGGTCTAAGTAAATAATACTCCTCTTTCTGGTCCAGAGTCTGCACAAATTGAAAAATCAGTGAAAGGAGCTGGGAAGGTGGAGTTCAGTCTATTGACTTTAAGGCTTTTGTGGATGATGGAAGTGGAGGAGTCCTGTCTGTGACTTGAGCAAGTTGGGGTTATGACAATGGCATTTACTAAAAAAGGGGTGTGCACGCGGGCGGAGGGCCACGCGGGCGGAGAACACTCAGATCTTCTTGTTTGCCCTGGCAGAGCTTCTGCCCGTGCCCTCTTGCCATCATATCCCCCTCTGCCTTCTTCACTGGGACTCTGCTCAGCCCCGACACATCACAGTCCCACACCCTCCCACCGCCCACGTCCATGCCCCTGCAGACCATCACCTCACATCTGCGTACCCATCCTGCAGCCTTTGCTCCCCCAACGCGCTGCACTGCCCACAGTCTGTGGTTTTGCAACTTGGAGCCTGAAGATTTGATTTCAACTCCTTAGCTCCCCTCCTGAGTACAAAAAAAAAAAACAATCCCACTGCCATCGAGTTGATTCTGGCTCATAGCGACCCTATAGCCCTATAGGATGGAGTAGAACTGCCTCGCAAGGTTTTAAGGCTGTAATCTGACCGAAGCCGACTGCCACATCTTCCTCCTGCAGAGTGGCTGGTGGGTTCGAACCACTGACCTTTTGGTTAGCAACTGAGTGCTGTAACTACTGTGCCACCAGGGCCCCTGGGAATTTGGGAAAG